AAACTATCATTCAACTTAGGCATCATTGATTGCCTGATTTTTCTGTAGGTATCACAGCAGAGATAGGGCTTGAGGAATTTGAAGGAAAAGAGGGTCATCAAAATATAACAGCATGGCCCTTGTATTTGTATGTAGGGCCTGTCGCTGACTATGACATTTTCTGAGACAGTTTGTATTTACTCTGAAGTAAAGTGCACCACAGGGCATTAAAGAAATTCAGTATCCAGCTCCAGGAGTGGTAAAGGATTCAGGTTAGCTAAGTCCTGCCAGATACATGGTGCATAGAACACATAGACCTGTCCTTTGTTGCTAGAAAACCAGTGTCTAAACTACCTGACTGTGCTTTGAGTTACCTATGTGGGGTAACTATTGTGAGCTCCCTATTGCACCTTTAATATAGTTGGTGGATTGCTGGTGATGTCAGGGGTTTGGCTGATCACCATTTTGTAGGCTGGAAGGGATATTTGCCATATGGCAGAATTGGCAAATTGCCGTGTGGGTTTTTTCCACCTTCCATTCAGCATCAAGGTGGTCTGGGTTTAGATTATAATTGTTGCAACTTTGACAGGTTCCCATGTGGCTGGTAGTTTAGAAAGGGTTTGTTTACAGGTTCCTGTAACCCGGTGGTCTGCCTTGGCCATGGTCCTGAGCACAGTATTAATTGGTGCAGGGGTTTGTCTATGCTTTGAGCTGGGGGAGCAGTTCCCCGTGCTAACTCTGATTGAGCGAGTGCCCTAAAAATCACACGTAGCTGCAGCAGCATCAACGTGACTAGTAGGAGGGTGTTAGCCACTCTGAGTAGGTGCCTGTGGTCTCGGCTGGGTTCGTACTGATGTACTCAGGGTGGTGAGCCCGTCCTGCTGCTCAGCTAGACACACTATTTTTTAAAATACACTCTAGTTTTAGCACACTAGCTAGATCAGAACTAGTGCGGGGTTTGTCTGCTCAAGCTGGGTATCTCACCCCAGCTCGAACTGTGCACATACCCTATGTCTCATGCAGCTTGTGGCTCACCTCATCTTGTCTCTCCTATCTCTAGCATGGAGGAAGGGTTGGGACTCTGGCTTACCAGTCAGGGTGAGGGTGGAGAGGGGGCATGACTTTCACATTTACCCTCTAGTCTGTAGTACACCAAGGCCATTCGTGCCAACTGGAGAGCCGCACTGGAACAACCTTTCTGGGTAGTTTGGGTAGTTACCCTAGTTAGGTAATAGTTTTAAATAAAGTTCCAGCCTCCACATTTAACCATATAATGGTGTCTATGTCTCATTGTCTTTATGTCCACATTAACGTCTAATTGTACTTTGTCAAGTGGCTGAATTTTTAATTGCAATTTAAAAGTAAAGCAGGCAGTCTGAGCTTAGTACATGTGGAGCACTGACAGGAGAAGAGATGTTCCCTAACCTGATCAGCAAATAGCCCCCTTCTTCCTCAGCAACACTCACAATTTCCTACTGCGTCACATATCATACAGCTGTTTCAGGATGCCCTCCCATATCTCAATGCTACTGTTGGCAACCCCTTGGAGGCCTCCCCCGCCCTTCTGTAAGGGGAAAAATTGGATTGTATCTGTACCCTGACCCATCAGCTCCCCTTCTGACCCAATGTAGGGAGCCTGTCAAGTTATCAGGACAGGTAAGGCAAGGAAGGTCCTGCATTAGGGTACAGAGACCTCTCCAATATTATGGTAGAAAAACATTACACAAGTGAGGATTGTGTGACAGTCGAATGTGCCAGGTTCTTTTTGTAAGAGGCATGTCCTGTGAATCCTCTGCTGAAAACCCTCTGCCACAATAACGCTATGTCTGAAACACTGTGTCGTCTTAACTCCTAAAATCCTCTGTGGGAACAACTCCTATTCCAGTAACAGAGTGTCTTCTGAACTTTTGTGCCAAAAAGCATTACATTATCAGCATCAGACTCCAGGGTTCTCTTTTTGTCTTTAACACCCACTATTTGAAGAAAACATTGAGCTCAGAAGTAGATATTTATAATTGTTATTGTATTAATTCAATTGCCATGTGGAAAATAATTTGCAAGGCAAAAACACAAAACAAACAGTTCAAAAAGTCAGATTTGTTGCCAAAGAGCTCTGAAAAAAGGTAATACACGTCATTAATTTTATTTTTTTTTCTGATAATTGGAGGTGGTATAAACACAGATTAATCACAGAAATGTAGGGATGGAAGGGACCTTAAGAAATCATCTAGCCTATCAGCTGTGCTGAGGCAGGATTAAGTATATCAGGTCCTAGCCCATCCCTGACCGGTGTCTGGAAGAACACTAAGCCAAACCACACGCCAGAACTTTCAGAACAGACAAAATGCATCCAGACGTGACATTAGTGTGTAGCAAGCTGGTGCTCTGTAGAGTCACACCCTAGTTTAACGCACACAAGGGCTTGTAAAGTTCCCAAGTAGACAAGCTCGTACATTGGACACTCCTGTTCATACAAACCCGAATGACATTAGCCTGTTTTTGCAGCAGTATCACACTGTTGACTCATATTCAATGTGTGATCCACTATAACTACCAAATCCTTTTCTGCAGTACTAGTGCCTAGCCAGCTATTCGCCATTTTGGAGGTATGCATTTGATTTTTCCTTCCTAAGTGTAGTACTTTGCACGTCTTTATTGAATTTCATCTTGTTGATTTCAGACCAATTCTCCATTTATCAAGGTCATTTTCAATTCTAAACCCATCCTTTAAAATGCTTGCACCACTCCTAGCTAGAAACTGTCATTCACAAATTTTACAAGTCTAGTCTCCACTCCATCATCTAAGTCATTAATGAAAATATTGAATTGTATTGGACACAGAAAAGCCACCCATGGAATTCCACTTGATACGATCTCCCAGTTTGACAGTGAAGCATTGTTAACTACTCTCTGAGTATGGTCTTTGAACCAGTTGTACACTCATTTTTTTAGTAAATTCATCTAAGCCACATTTTCCTTGTTTGCTTATGAGACTATCATGGAGGACTATGTCAAAAGCCTTGCTAAAATCCAGATATATCGTGTCTACTGCTTCCCTCCAGCCACTAGGCCAGTTACCTTGTCAAAGAAGGAAGTTAGATTGGTTTTGTATGATTTGTGCTTGACATTCCATGTTGCTACTAATTATCACCTTATTCTCCTCTAGGTCTGAACAAATTGATTGTTTGATAATTTGTTCCAGTATCTTTCCAGGTATCAAAGTTAGACTGACTGGTCTATAATTTCCTGGGTCTTCCTTTTTCCTCTTTTTGAAGATAAGTACTGTGTTTTTCTTTCTCCAGTCCCCTGGGTCCTCACCCATCCTCCATGAGTTCTCAAAACCAATTAATGGTTCTAATATTGCTTTGGTTATTTCCTTAAATACTCTATTGTGAATTTAATCAGGCCCCGCTGACTTGAATGCATCTATCTTATCTAAACATTCCTTAAGCTGTTCTTCCCATATTCTAGCCCAAGATCCTTCCCCCTTGTTGTTAATATTGTGTTACGTATCTGCTCTAAATTAATCTTTTTAGTGAAGACTGACGCAAAAAGGGCATGAAACACCTCAACTTTCTCTGTGTCATCCTTTATTTGCTCTCTTTTCCTGTTAAGTAATGGACCTACATTTGTCAAACTAACAGGTCAAATTCAAATATCAGTTTTAATTTGTGTTTTGTTCATTGCCACTTTGAAATAATTTCTTAAAACTAAAGGCTTAATACTCCTATTAAAAGGCTAATTGCCACAGTCTTACTGGGTTATCACTCCACCGTACTACCCTGAAAAGAGATATTTAACATCTACACTATTTATCAGTTCTAAAAGAGCATCATCAAGATTTTAAAGTTTCAAATAATACTAATTTTCTGGCAAATCCTTTAAAAATTGCTCTATAATTTTTATGCTTGCATTTTGCATCCTTTGAAGTCAAGGATTCTTAGCCTCAGTGGGGCATAAACAGGTTTCAGGGGATTGTGACCACACTCACTTTCTTTTTGGATACATGGATGGGTATGTATCCAAAAAGATACATAAAACTTGTAGTAATATGGAATCACAGTATGGAAAAGCTTGAGAACTCCTGCCTTAAATTAACATTTAGCTCAGTTTCTTATTTCTTCATTATTCTGATATTCATTTTCCCTCTCTCCTTTCATCCTTGCTACTATGTTCCTCCTTGAGAGTGTCCTTTAAGTTACAACTTTTCAAAATTAATTTGGTATGAAACATGTCCACTCCTGTTCTGCACTCAGAGATAGAAGGGAAGGTGGGAATATGTTCCCATTTCAGAATCCTGTGCAAAATCCCATGGTTGCTTGTAATTTTCTCTATTAGCCAAATTTCCCTTTTTCTCCAGCCCCAGGTCCTAACCTCCTCAAATAAACATTGGGTCTTTAACCAGAGGCCAGTAAATCCTTTTCTTCACTCTGCACTTCTTAGTGACACAGGCTCCATGACACAGTGTACGTAAATATCTCCCCACCGCTTTGCTTCTAATCCTCTCTAATGAGACAATGAAATCCTTCCTGTTCTTGGAGCCTCCCAGGTTCCTTCTGTTCTGTTCACTCTTCCCAAGACTTGACCATTGCCCTACTCCTTATCCCTCTGACTTATCCCACTATAGTAAATTGTAGATTCATTAGTTTACTTCAATCCTCCAAATATGTATGAAAGATGGCATACAATAACGTATTGTATTGCACTTGTAATTGTATATATATATAGGCTGCCAGCGGCTACTGTTGTAGTGATGTGGCTGTTTTAATACTGACATAATGCTTGCTATGATAATGCTTTAAAGAAATTCCGTATCCAGTTCTGACAATAGTAGGGGATTTCACATTCTCAGAAGTCCCACTCTGTGAACATAGCATATAGAGCTGTTCCTTGGTTCTAAAGACCTTCTTTCTAAGCTATCTGTGCTGCAATTCAAATAATAAAAAAGTACATTAGGATTCCATTTTTCTAATTGAAAAGAGAGATCATACTAGCACAAAACTAAGAAATTAAAGACTTACTGAGGTGCCGAGCTGGATGCAATGGTTTGGAAGAGGCTTTCAAAATGTTTAAATCAGCATAAACTATTTCACCTGCCATGATAAGCGCAGAGGAGGGAGAGCACGTACAGAAGAGGATGGAGTCTAAGAGCAGCCTCATTTATATATGAGCTAATGTATCCAAAATCAGGAAGTGTCTGTCATCTATTTGAAGCTTTTTTACTTCCTTTTCCCCTGGTGATTTGAGAAGTCCAGGCACCCAGGCTAATAAATTAATGCCTATGTGCTAGCAACCAGTCTGAGTTGTGCTTGAAAACACTCAGGACGGGAGAGCTGTTCTGCACTAGGGTGTTTAGGATTTTAAAAGCACAATTATTTTTCAGTAGTACAAGTAAGCTGAGTCCTGATGCATTTAGCATGGCAGCTCTGAAAATTCACATGGTAAGAAAGTCTTGTTAAAGCATAAAAGAGGGAAATAGTCAATTGGCATTTCCCTAACCTTTCAGTGGAGCAGCCATCTTTAATATATGCCTTTCACTCTAGTTCTCTCTCTGTTGTTGCCACTCAACTCTTGTGTGAGTGAAAAACTCTTTTTCATGGGGTGGCTGAACTGCCTTCTCCAGGGAAAGGGGGCTCTGCTGGATCAGGACCTGAACGCGGGAGTTGTGGTGCCACCTCAGCTCCCACTGAAGCCAATGGGAGGCCAAGGAACTCAGCACCTCTCAGGATAGGACTCCATGTCTGAGGACCAATAATGCCAGAGTCAGTTCAATAGACTGCAGTACTGCCAGCCCCAAATGTTCAAAAATCATGAGTCAGGCTCACCAAAAATCATTAGATTGGTTTTAAAATCATGAGATTACGTAAAAATAATAGTTGATGTTCTTTATTTGCCTTCTGCTTTTTCAGCCCTTAGCTTCAAAACTTGACCCCAGTGCACCCTTTCTCCACAGCCATGAGGGCTAGAAACTTTTTCTTTAGGCATGAAGGCTGAAATCATCACATCTCCACTTGACTCCAGGAGCTGGGGCTTTAAGGAAAACAATAATTATCATGAGATGCATGACAAAATCCTGGGAGTTGGCAGCACTGAGACTGGTTCAATAAAATTCGTGCCCACAAAAAGTAAAACTGTTAGGTTTGCATTCACACAGTGTCATGTCAAGTGGGAAATAGAGTTGGAGGACACTGGTCATATGCTGGTACCCTGCATCTTCTACAACACTCACTACCATTCTCAATTCGTTAACTAGCAGGCTGACGGTACAACTATAAAGTTTCAAGTCTCAACTGTACAGAAAGCCCACCATCTTATGTACAACAAGGAAATAACTCCCCCACAAAATCTGTCTTAATTTATAGGTAAGGCTGCTGAGTGCAATTCAAAACAAGATACATTAAACATCCATAAATGTTCAGGTTGAAAGAAGACACAAGCTAAGGTTACATCAACAATCTTGAAGGGAAGCAGCGGAAGGCATTTTAAAAAGGAAGTACTTATGCCTCTTAGCTGTGCTGGTGAGTGGTGGCTACAACTGTTCTCATGCAGCTTTACTGAGCTGTCCAGGTTTGGGGAACTGCCAGGGAATTGTTTTTGGGAACTGTGAGGTTTTGAGGAACTGCCCAGAGGGGAGTAGCAGAACCTCCCCTCTTGTAAGGAGTTCAGCTACATGGTGACTTTTAATGGCAGGAGCCAGGAAGGGGAAGCATGGAAGAGATGGAAATGGAACCACTTTAAATGCTCTCAGAATTTTTATACTTTACATAGTTATATATATGTGTGTGTGTGTTCACACATGTCAAGGTTCCTCCCCCACTCTGAACTCTAGGGTACAGATGTGGGGACCTGCATGAAAAACCTTCTAAGCTTATTTTTACCAGCTTAGGTCAAAACTTCCCCAAGGTACAAAATATTCCACCCGTTGTCTTTGGACTGGCCGCTACCACCACCAAACTAATACTGGTTACTGGGGAAGAGCTATTTGGACGCGTCTTTCCCCCCAAAATACTTCCCAAAACCTTGCACCCCACTTCCTGGACAAGGTTTGGTAAAAAGCCTCACCAATTTGCCTAGGTGACTACAGACCCAGACCCTTGGATTTTAAGAACAATGAACAATCCTCCCAACACTTGCATCCCCCCTTTCCTGGGAAATGTTGGATAAAAAGCCTCACCAATTTGCATAGGTGACCACAGACCCAAACCCTTGGATCTGAGAACAATGAAAAAGCATTCAGTTTCTTACAAGAAGACTTTTAATAAAAATAGAAGTAAATAGAAATGAAGAAATCCCCCCTGTAAAATCAGGATGGTAGATATCTTACAGGGTAATTAGATTCAAAAACATAGAGAACCCCTCTAGGCAAAACCTTAAGTTACAAAAAAGATACACAGACAGAAATAGTTATTCTATTCAGCACAATTCTTTTCTCAGCCATTTAAAGAAATCATAATCTAACACATACCTAGCTAGATTACTTACTAAAAGTTTTAAGACTCCATTCCTGGTCTTATCCCCGATAAAGACAGACTATAGACAGACACACAGACCCTTTGTTTCTCTCCCTCCTCCCAGCTTTTGAAAGTATCTTGTCTCCTCATTGGTCATTTTGGTCAGGTGCCAGGGAGGTTACCTTTAGCTTCTTAACCCTTTACAGGTGAGAGGAGCTTTCCCCTGGCCAGGAGGGATTTCAAAGGGGTTTACCCTTCCCTTTATATTTATGACAACACAGACAGAGAGGTTTCAGAGGAACAGCCTTGTTAGTCTGTATTCGCAAAAAGAAAAGGAGTACTTGTGGCACCTTAGAGACTAACCAATTTATTTGAGCATGAGCTTTCGTGAGCTACAGCTCACTTCATCAGATAGAGAAAAATTCTGGTGGGTTTCCTGCCAGTAGCTGATTAAGAGGAAGAGAAAGTTTAAAAAGTCCTGATCCATTCTTATAGTGACCAAAAGCCTTCTCTATTCCTCAGTGGGAAGCAGTGTTGTCCACTGGCTCTGCTACTAAACTTGCACTCAGGAGATCTGAGTTCTGTTCCGGCTTCTACTATTAGCCTGCTGGGTGACCTTGGCAAGTCACATCAATATCCCTGTGGCTTGGTTTCCCCATCTGTAAAATGAGGATAATGATACTGGACCAGATTTTCAGAGATATATTGGGGCCTTTGAAAATCTGGCTAACTGACCACATGCTTTGAGATACATGGATAAAAAGTGCTGTATTATAGGTGACACAGCTAGTGACACCTAAACTTAACGTTGCTTCACACTTTTGATTATAACTTTCAGTTGCTTATAACTTTGCCAGATTTAACTGTTCATGCTGAAATTTCTGGCTGTGTATCTGCCTCAGGCTGAATTTTTCTTTTTGAAAGTTTCAGCAAAAATATTCAGCCATTTCAGTGAGATTAGGGAAAAACATATTGTTCTACCCATGTTAAATACCTGGTTATGAGAATTTTCTTCAGAAGCTCTAGCATCTCCAGGCTTTGGAGCAGGGACTTCAATTTGACATTGCGGGGTGGGAGAAATCACGCTGGTATCAGGGAATGGCTTTAGCTGTTCCAATGAAAAACCACCTAAATTTGGCCAAGTTATGAGCCTTTAACAAATTGCATTTTGCACAGTTTCAGTAGAGACTTGTTAGAGCTTCACTGCTAACCCCTCAAATCACTGAGCATGCTCCATCCCATCACAGCCCCTATATGTGACAGGACTTCACATGTGCCATCCCAGAAAGCAACTGAGCAGGAACACAGCCAACGGACTCAGCACATGCTGAGAGAATGGCAATGTCACCCACCATCACCAAGACTGGTTTGATGAGAACGATGCTGAGATTCAGGGCCTGCTCGACCAGAAAAGAAAAGCTCATTGCATATGGCAAAACGACATATTACACCAGCAGAAGAAAGAGTCATACAAGCAACTCAAAGCTGAAGCTCAAAGGAAAATCCGTGACATCAAAAATAAGTGGTGGCGAAAAGAGACCAAGGAGATTGAGCTTTATGCTGATAAACATGACATCAGGAGCTTTTTTCAAGGCAATAAGGGCCATTTATGGTCGATGCTCCCATGGTCCCACACCACTCCGAACCCAAGACAGGTCGACGTATTTTTTAAGGACAGCAAAGCCATCAAAGTCAGACGGAGGGAGCATTTTGAGTTACTCCTGAACCGTGAGTCAACTGTCTCTGATGCCACTATCAAATCTATACCTCAATAACATGAAAGAGAATCTCTTGCTGACCCCCCTGCCCTTGAAGAAGTAATAAGAGCCATTATGTATACCAAGAACAACAAGGCAGCAGGACCAGATGGCATACCAGCTGAAGCCTACAAGTCTGGAGGAGAAGAACTGGTAAGGAAGTTCCACAAACTTTTTCTTCATATCTGATATGAGAAGATTCCAGAAGACTTGAGAAATGCCAATACTGTTGCAATCTTTAAGAAAGGAGATCAGTCAGAGTGTGGAAATTATTGAGGCACTGGCCTTATTATCTACAGCAGGGAAAATTCTTGCCCGTATCCTCTTAAAAGGATTACTTCCCCTTGCTGAGGAAATACTGCCAGAATCTCAGTGGTTTTAGACCATCCCACAGGACAACAGACATGATCTTTGTTACCCGCCAAATCCAGGAAAAGTCTCAGGAGCAAAATCAGGATCTGTACATGGCCTTCATCGATTTGACAAAGGCCTTCGACTTGGTCAATCGTGAAGCCCTGTCGAAGGTGCTGGCCAGATTTGGATGCCCACCAAAATTTATTAAGGTCCTAAGGTTTCTTCATGATCAGATGACTGCCACAGTTCTCTGTAATGATCTTGAGACGGACCCTTTCATCATCAAAACTGGGGTTAAGCAAGGATGCGTTATTGCCCCAACCCTGTTCTCCATTTATTTAGCAGTCATTTTGGTCCTCATTAAAGACTGTCTCCCCCATGGAGTTGACATTCAATACAGAATGGATGGACGACGTTTTAATCTTCGCTGTCTCTGCTCGAAGTCTAAAGTCCTCAGGGCGTCCATTATTGATCTTCAGCAAGTTGGTGACTGTGCCATCCTTTGCACACTGAGAATGACCTTCAGTCCACACTGTGAAT